ATCACAACATTTGTCATCCTAAAATATTTAGCCCAAATTCTAAACAATGCTTTATTTGGTATAGAAGGTATTTACTTGTGATTTGGATGCATAAATGTATTAGTTTAGCTAAAAATATAAAGCTAAGTTTTGTTATTTTTAATACAGTAACAGTTGACTATGAAACACTTTCAAAACAGTATAGAAAATGCTGTCATCCTGGATTTGTAAGCAAACCATGGCCACCACTTAACTATTAGTGTTCTAGTGCTAATGCATTTTTCTCATTTAGGAAAATGAAGCTATGAACACTATTAACTGCATATTTTGGATTTTCCTTCACCTTACACAATATTTTTACCATCTACATGTACAAAAATTTCAGGCTGTAATCATTTATACTACAAGAAGGAAAAGACTGACCTACTATCAAAGTGTTACATGGAAAAATATCAAAAAGACTGATTTTGTCTCCATATTATCTGTCTCTTTTCTGTATTCATAAATATATAAGAAGGGACTACAAAAGCTTTTGAAATTCCAAAGAGAGGCTTGCAGGACTTAAATATTATAAGAGTATGTAACACAGACTCATAGGTCAGAAAGTGACCAAATACCTTCAAACCATAAAAGCAAACTAGAAAAACATTACAAGTTGATAGAATCTAGTTGATTTTTACTCCAGTACAATTCAGCAAAACAGCAGTTACATCTCCTGGGTTACTACCTTTTGTCACTCCTTGTTACTTGCTTTCTGAAATGCTTAGAACATGTCATCACTAATGTTAGGTTATTCTGTTGAGGACATTGTTATTAAAATGTTGTGAAAAGGTTAGCCTAGAAGCATTATAGAATGTGATAGTTAAAGTCATGCATGGTTAAAATTTAGAAACCTGTTTCCTCTCTAATATTCAGCAAACAAGCAACTATGCACTTGGAATTTCTTGAAATGTTTCTTTGAAATACAATTTTGTAAAAGTATAAAATAGTTTTGAATTGATTTTCTTATATAAAAACTCTAGACATAGATATAAACTAAACTCTAAAGATTTATCCAAATATATTAGACTATTATTTAACAGCTAACTTACATGACACATATTGTGAAAAAATAAATGCCCACTTGTAAGATTTGTTCTATTAAGAAAATAAAAATGATTCAAAAAATTTCTTAACATGTACACACATATAAAATATGTTACTATAATAATAACATAAATATTTCAGAAAATAATAAGAGCAGACTATTAACAGTTTATTTGGCAAAACAACAACTAACAGTAATGTAAGATGTTCAAGCTTTGATGTATCTAAATTACTGTCATATAAAATAATACGATGAGAATAACTTTTAATATTATGTAATACCACAAAGTTTGCTGTCATAAGATGTTATATACCAGGATGAAACAATGTATGTATACATTTTGTCAGAATTTTAGATTTCTATAAATTTTACAAGGTTTAACAATTTACTTTAATAATTGTTTCCAAAACAATCTTCGAAAGTAGACAAAACATTTTCTCAATAGCAAATTTAAGTTTAAAATTAGTAAGAGTAATGCAATATCTTTGATTTTGTTGACTGAAATGTAAAAGTGAAAGTATGAAAATAATATGCTAAGCCAGAAACATTTGGAAATCTGTTAGAAACATTCTTTAAATAATTTTAAAAAATCCCTATGAAACAATACACAAAGTTAATGGTCTAAACAATGTAGGGTTATTTTTCTACATTTTATGATTTTTCCCAGACCAGGTCATGAATAAGAATGACCACCAGTAAATGAAGCCTGTTTCTAATTTAAATAAAAAGGAAAAGAAGCTTGTTTTTAATTTAAAATTGGTCTACTTAATTACTATTATAAAAATAAAATTTAAAAAAAGAAAACCAAAATCAAAAGAGGAAAAAAAACATAAAAAAATGACTAACAGGACCAGAACTTGTCAGGTACCCTTGTATCTAAATTGGACACCAATGTTCTTAACCAAAACTTTCCTTTTGGCAACTGGATCAGAGGAAACTTACAGGGTGATTGAGGAGTTGGAGATGGATGATAAGAGCATTTTTGTGGGGGAGGGGTCATCTTCTTTATTCCTAGGTGCCTGTGTGTGTGTGTGTGTGTGTGTGTGTGTGTGTGTGTGTGTGTTGGTGATAGGACTCATTAGAAGATCATCGAGGTGTTAGAGTAACAGAGTCTTCCAGGAGTTGTCAGTTCTGCTGGTGTATTTCTGTTCTTCAATTAAATTTTGCATTTTAGTTCATGTTGGTAATTGGGCACTCATAAGTCTTTTAGATACAAAGAAACATGTATAATGGTCAAACTTGTCAAAATACTTTTTTCTCAAATGAGTGGCAGCAGGAAGTTTTGAGTGTATCCTGTCATGCTCTTTGCTTCTGCGGTTTTTTCAGACTCTGTGAAGTTTGTCAAGAAGTTCACACCGGGGCCATCTACGGCTACCTGGTTTCCAGTCATCACTCTGATCCATTTCTTCTTCATTGCTTCCTATCTTTGATATCTGTTGAAATAGCAGGACCTTGATGTTTGCATGCACTTCAAACCCTTCGGATTTTTACTTCCTGGAAACTCACAGACTGCTATGTTTAGAACCCTTAGTTTAACTTCTGGAGAGGGCATGGGTGTTCCACTCTTCCCATATCATCACCAACTCCACAGGTTCTTCTCAGCAGCAATATCATTGAGTGAAGGTAAAAACTGAACAATGAGATCACATTGTGAAGTAAAATTTATTTTTAAATTGCTTTCCTGAAGCTTTTGTCCTAAATCTATAGAGCATGGTGGACCTAACAAAAATCCTGTTGAGCACTTTTGCAATTTGAGTATCTTTTGCATAATTTCTAATTCTGAAATGAAACTTAGTGTCTGACTATTGCTGTGGAGACCATCTAGATCCCAGTGTTCACTTTTATCTCTGAATTCAATAGAATGCCTTTGAAGAATGCTGTTTGTTTATTTGCTTGTTTGCAGGGTGAGGGGGTCTTGTGAACTTTAAGACCATTCAGAAACAAAGAAGTCATTCTGGAATCTTCATTTCTCTGCCCCATCTTTAATCCACCATTACATACATTCACATGAGTACAGTAAACAGCAAATTCTAGAATACAGAGCTTGGGATTTAGAAAATGCATTTCAAGATCTGGGGCTCAAGTGCATCAGAGAAGTTAAACAATGTTACTAATTTAGTGTAGATAGAGTTGGCTGGAAAAGAAATAATCAATAGCAGAAACAGACTCTTTTTTCTTTCTTTTTCTTCTTTTTTTTCTCCAGTACATTACCAAACAAATATTCTGGAATCACAGAAACAGGGCTTTTCATTAGAATCACTCAATCTTAATGTCTTATGACTCAGTCTCCTATGATACATGTTTTAAATTCTGTTTTAATTTGTTAGATTATGTCTCAACTTGAAGGAAGATTTTGTGTGTTGTGTGATTCATAACTGAAAAAAATTCCCCAATTCTTTTCCTGTATGACTTAAGGGGCTTTTGATAGGTATCTTTCATATTTTACAGGGAACACCATATTTCACCACATCTTGCTCAACAATATTAACCATCTGGTCACCTATCTGTCCTCTGTACTCTATTCCTCCTATAATTCTGAACTCAGAAGTAATTATTCACAACATTCTGTGAAGCCTCCTATAACTGGACAGCTTCAGAATTGGTCATGCCTGCATTCCCTGGCACAATGAGCACATTCATAACTGGATGCAGTGTTTTCATGCTACTCATTCCGTTCACTATGGTAACATTTTGAGGTTTAGGTAGAAAGGAGTTAGTTCCTTGACTGAAGAGAAATTCCCTTACAAATTGTAATGACTATTATTTGTATGAGATAAGCCACAGGCCTTTTAAAACTTAAGGCTAGGCCCAGGATAATTGCACAATTTGAGTCAATAAGCAGACCAGTCTATTCCTGGTGGCCATTCCTTCTCTGTGAACCTTGAAGCAGACAGGTTACAGCTGTTTCCTTATTCCATATAAAAAATGCCAGGCATGATGAAAAACTGGCTAAGAAAGGATAACTGGTATTAAATAAAATCAATGCAATATATTTTCTTGAAGACACTGAAAATGTCTTCATTGAAGACTGAAAATGAGTGAATTCATTTTAATAATTTATGTATTTACAACCTACATTATTAGGGATTAATTAAAGTGATTGAAAGTCATCCTCAAATTTTAAGGCAGGTAACTTCAGGGTCTCACTAAAATATAGATTCTAAGTCTACATGGGGACCTGGGAGTCTTGTGTTTCTAAGAAGATCTCAGAAGAGGTCAATGGCATAGATACTTACACAGGGTCTAGAATTTGTGTCAGATATGTCAATTTACATTATAGATAAAACAGTACTAGGAAAGTTATTAAGAATTGTCAGGTAACTTTACCAAGTTTATTAGAAAGCAAATAACCACAATTCCAAATATAGCTCAATATAGCTCATGTCTATATTTGCATATATGTGCACACTCACAGGTGCATGCAGAAATAACCACAGTTGGGAGCATCCTGAACCATTTCCTTAAGACTAGTGACAAAGAAACAACTCTTAGAAGAAAACAAAATTTATGCAGTTATATACGTCAAAATATATAACTTTAAAAGTCAAAATGAAAATAGAGTAACCATTAAGACAAATGAACTACAACTAAAACGTTGATATTTTAGTATAAGTGGATATTTTTAGCACATTTTTGTAAAAAATGGCTTAAATCAGAGATGAATAGTTCCCCTTCTCTTTAATGTTTCTGATAAAGACCTTTGTTCTGTTGTCTAAGAGCCAGTGGCCACTATTGATAGTCTATAGCGCCACTCCCATAAGATACCTTTGTGTTTCCGTGTACAGTGTGATAGTCAAAGTTCACTTTATACTGTATTGTGGAATCTTAAGCTTAACATTTGTTACACAGATTCTGACTTTTCATTCCATCTATTTCTCTGCAGTTTCCCTGTTAATAGGTAGGCTATTCTGCATCTGTGAAACCTGCTACAAAAATGGGTACCCCAGAAGATGTTTACAGAAAAGATCTGAAGATGATCCATGGGTGTCCTATGGTCTATGCTTTTGCACTCAATTGGGAAAGGATTGAAGAGTTCCAGAGCAGACCAGATGACCTTGTGATAACCACATACCCTAAATCAGGTGAGTTTTGTGTCTTGAATAATGAAGGTCTAACCTCATCTTTTGTTTATAAGATTGATTTAAAAATTTTAATCATGTGTATGTGTGTATTTGTTTGTAGTAGGGGAGTGAGTATGTGTATATGGATATCCACAAAAGTGAGATGGGGGCATCCTATCACTACAGCTGCTATGGGCTGGAGACTTAGAGGGAGAAAAGAGAAGGGACAAGTGATATTATTATATTGTAATCTCAAAAAAGTCAATATATTTCAAAAGTTTACAAAAATGTTCAATTTCACATGCATAAACTTCTCAAAGAATAAATCAATAAATAAAAACATTAAAACAAAGAAGCTGATCACTGATTTTAAAAATTCTGACTTTTGTTACAGGTACTACTTGGATTAGTGAAATTGTTGACATGGTTCTAAATGATGGAAATGTAGAAAAATGTAAACGAGATGTTATTACTGCTAAAGTTCCAATGTTGGAACTGACTATTCCTGAACTACAAATATCAGGTAAATGTAATTCTCTTGGTTATTGAAATTTCGCAAGAATATTCTCATCTAGCATAGTCCTATTTGTAATTCCAACTCAGAAAAAAGAAAGAAAAAGAAGCAGCACAATTGTTTAATTGTTTACATAATTACAAAGGATTGTAATTCCAACTCAGAAAAAAGAAAGAAAAAGAAGCAGCACAATTGTTTACATAATTACAAAGGATAATTCACTGTGTTGTGCATTAGCTATGAATTATTAGTAAAATATGAATCCTCTCATTAAGGAACATACAGAAATATTGTAACATTAAAAAGTAAATTTATTTACATGTCAGTTCTACTAGTCTTTCATAGCCAACGACTAGACTGCATGATATATAATCTTATTAAGCCCCACAGTTATGCATGTACTTTTGGGAAAACATTATCTCAGAATGTGAAGCATCTAAGTGTAAAAGGGATTGATGCTGAAAAATCTTCAGGACAATACATGAACTAAAACAACAGTGAAGAAAGAGGTGGGAGTGAGTAGGATGCAAAGCAATTTAACATCATATAGTGATTGATTAAATAAGGTGTGGATGCTTCAAAGTTTCTTTAATTTTATTCTAAACAAGATAGGGAAGATATTTAGTTGCTTTAGGCAATTGATTTGCATTTTTGTTGTTTAAAATACAAAGTCTACCCTAGTTGCTATGTGGAATTAAATCCAGGATGATATCGACATATTTTGGATTGATTGGCTGGCAACTGCTTAAGAAATATGAGGAAAAATGAAGAAAAAAGGGTGGGTTCAGAAGTTTTATTTAGGCCAACCAAATATGAAGCCAGGTTTTATTTGGAAACTTGGGAAAGTTATTAATAATTTTTGTATAAAGTGTTATGTTTCAGGTATTATTTTAAATAGTCAGTTGAAAGATATTCCTTTGGTAACTTTCAGGATAATTGGCAATTGGAAGCAAGACTGTTGACTCACAAAAGTATAATATAGTATCAAATGTTGAAGGTTATTCATGAAAAATACCATCATGAAGAAGTTTTGATAGGGGAATTAAGAAAAAAGTCATCAAGCTAAAAGGGAATGGAAAAGCCTGGTTCCTACAGGCAAGTGTAAAAGGTCACTTTAAGTAAAGCTGCTGCAAACCTAGATAACACAGAACACAGGGTACCTAGTTAACACAGGAACCTAGATAACACAGAGCACAGCTGAGTATCAACTTTTCCCTATAGTGGTAATGGCTCACAGCAAGAAGGTTTACTTGCAGAGGAAGTGATCTATTGACCCTTATCTCCTTCTCTAAAGTTGAAAATAAAAGCTTGGAAATGAAGAATGACTTTAACACCACAAAAAATATAAAATGAAATACTAATTAAACTGAATAATGTAGGTGTCTGGGATTACTGGTGGAGGTGGGATTAAGGGCAGAGTCAGTTGCCACAAGGGATTAGTTAATGTTTTGCCAAGAGATGAAGGTAGTAATTAGATTTATTCTAGACCCTAATTGTGGATACCTGCGAAATCGTCCTATCAGTTATATTCATGGATATAAAGGGCTCATTTAAACCACATTACTTGGGAAAATGACTATGAGACATAGGAAATGAGAAATCTTTTATGTAAGATAGAGCAGAAGCAAAGAATTGGCATGGAAAAGATGATATGAGATTAACAGAGGGAAGTGGATGCCTATAGAATACTACAATTTTCATTTCTCTGTACTGGGTACCACGGCTGTAGCCACTAGTTTGGAGACATGATGAGATCCATGGTAGAATTTTGCAGGTTTCTAATTAATATCTCCAGATAAAATCCAGGACATCTAACCTCCAAGTACATTTAACATTCAGATTGTGAAACATTTAATTTAATCTATCCCAAAGGTAAATTATAGGAGACACACACAAAAAATATCTATTATGTATTTAAAACCCAAATTTAGCTGGCCATCTTAGATTTTTATTTGATTTTCACAACCTTATTTCTATTGCTATAAAGAGGTTGTGCTTAATATTTATTATGGGCCATGGATTTCAATCAACAAGACATTCATTGCTAAACGACATGTCACATTCCTGTTTTGAGGCAATTCTGTTCTATTGAATGTATATTAGAGTGCTAGCCTGGGCAATAAGCACAGGAACACTCTGGAGGCAAGAACATTTCTGACTGTGACCAGTTCCCTATTTACAAAAAAAGAGGCTGCCATGGACATCTCTAAGAAGTCCAAGCAGGCCTTGAACTTAAAATCTTCATATATCAGCCTCTTGAGTACTGGATTAAAGTTTTGGGCCACCATTTCAAGTACATGCAGTATTCCAATAGATAAAGTGTTACATAGAACACTGGGACTATATGTAGCATTATAAATTAAAAACAGTTAAAACCAGTGATTGTTTGGAGTTGATTCATCAGATGTAAGTTTTTTGAAAAATATATTTTTATGCTAAATATGGCAAGAATATGTAATATTAGTAGACTAGATATTAGATTGGATTGAAGTGATACTGATAATGAAATATGCATAGCACTTTAATATTTGTATGGGAGACCTGAAGAAGTAGATGTGATAAAACTAAGTTACCAAAGCAGTGTTTTATTCCTCATTTTGGGGAATATAGAAAATGAAACTAGGACTCTTAAATATTTTAAAAATACCTCATAGAGTAAAATTATACTAGAAATTTTAATATAGTGGGGCAAATGTCCAAGTGTACACTGTTACCTGTCTCCTGATACCACCTTCAGGAATTCTGAAAAACACCTGTAGTTATTTTAGAAGCCACCTCCATTTAATATTGCTCAGAAATGTCTGGGAAAAATGTTTGTGAGAAAGAGAGATAGCTCAGTGGGAAAAGTGCTTACTGCACAGGTACAAGGACATGGAATCCACACTGCAAGAAAAGGATGAATTCTTAAAAGTTGTCCTCTGGCTTTTTCCATAAGAGTGCTGTGACACATGAATGGATTGATAATGCACCTGACAATGTCTGGTGTCTACATGCACACACACACACACACACACACACACACACACACACACACACACACACACACACACACACAGCATTTACAAATATTGGTGGGAAAGATGTAGAAATCTGAGCTTTGTTGGTACTCTGATCTTTCTATGTCCTAAACTGAAATTCTAGGTGTTGAACACTTGAAGACAATGCCATCACCTCGGATTATAAAGACGCATCTACCAGTTGATCTACTCCCTAAATCTTTCTGGGAGAACAACTGCAAGGTATAATATAGACTAATGCTTAAGTTTCCAGCTGAACCCTGTCTATTGATCTGTTCTTATTGTGAGAAATAGTAGCATGCTTTGCCACCCGGGAAACTAAACTACACAAGGAAGTGATTGATATTTTACCTGTCTTTCTCCTGACTCCCCCCACCTCTTCTTTGCCCTCTTTATCTCTCTTTTGGATCCTTTCCCTTATATTTTTGTTGTGAGCCTAGCCTTTAATGGCTGAGCCATCTCTCCAGCCCTTTCCTTACTTCTCTTCCCTCCTCTCTTGTCTACTTCTGATTTGGTTTTGTTTGAGACAGGATATCACTATGTATGCCAGGCTAGCCTTGCAATATATATCACCCTCTTGATCTTCCTTCCCCAGCCACCCAAGTACTACAGTACTGGGAGTTTACCACTATGAACAGTTAACTTTTTAAAAATAATTTCAATTTATGTATATGAAGTTTCTAAGCTCAAAAGTAACAGAATTCTCAATCAGCACAATATTGTTACTAGTATACCCTTTCTGTGCCAACAAAATGATGTGGCTTTCAAGAAAAAATTAAGTAAAGAGTATGTTTTCTTACCTGAATGTTTGTTGCCATTGTTTAGTGAAATGTTTGTGACTGGATGCTTGCTTATCAGGAAATCTCAAGTTCTTCAATAGCTAATCATTTCTTTTTTTTAATTTTTTTTTCTTAATTCAAGTTAGGGAACCAGCTTGTTTCACATGTAAGTCCCTTCTCCCTCTCCCTCTCCTCACCCCCATCCCTCCTCGCCCACCTCCAACCTACCCACAACCCCATCCACCCACCACTCCCCAGGCAGGGTAGGGCCCTCAACAGGGGCTCTGCAAAGTCCACCAATTCTTCCTGTGCTGGGCCTGGGCCCTTTCCCATGTGTCCAGGGTCAGAGTGTAACCCTTCACGTGGGTTGGGCTCTCAAAGTCCCTTCTTGCACCAGGAAAAAATACTAATCCACCACCAAAGGCTCCCTGGAGTGCAGAGGCCTCCTTATTGACATCCATGTTCAGGGGTCTGGATCAGTCTTGTACTGGTCTCCCAGACAGCATCTGGGGTCGATGTGCTCTCCCTTGTTCAGGCCAACTGTTTCTGTGGGTTTCTCCAACCTGGAACAGACCCCTTCGATCTTCATTTCTTAAATCCTAATTATGATGTTTAAATTATCTAGTTCTTCCTGCTTAACTTGTTTATGTTTGTTGTTTTTTATTTTGTTTTTCAAGACAGGGTTTGTGTGACTTTGGAGGCTGTCTGCTTAACTTATATGTAAAGAATTTGGGGTGTTGTTCGTAAAAATAAAGTGTATCCTTATATATGAAAGTATACTCTCTTTGTATGCTAACCAAAACCTTAGTAAGTTCATGAAAAGAGTTTCTACTTTAGGAGTGATGATAGGCAAGCTTTATGAACCATAACTTCTAGGAGAAAAACTTCTCTGCTATTTTATTTATTTATAATAAATATTAATAGTGCAGGATCCCCTGATTTTCTTCTTCCTCTTTCATGTAGATGATTTATCTGGCTCGAAATGCTAAGGATGTTGCTGTCTCATATTATCATTTTGATTTAATGAATAGTGTACAACCTCTGCCTGGCACCTGGGAAGATTATCTGCAGAAATTCATAGCTGGAAATGGTAGGTAGGCCTAAGCAGTAACTTTAAGATGTCAAAGAGTTTTTATTTCAGATATTACTAATCTTGAATAACCTATCTTCCTTTCATTTTTTAAAAGTCAGAATATCCAAGTTAAATACTTATATATTAGATTCCATTGCAGGAAAGTAACTACATTTAAATGTTTACCATAAAATTTAACTTGCAAGTATAATATTAATCAATGGTATATGAAAACATTCTGTAATCTATTCCCAGTGTTAAAAGTCAATCCTCAATTTTTGTGCATCATTGGGGATCTGTTATATATGCTGTATCTGTAATATTGAAATTCATACTTGATACCATGTTATATAAATCTTCCATTAGCAAACTCAATGGCAGCCAATCTATTTTTACTTGAAATGTCCCTTTTGTAATCTATGTTTTAAAAGTTGAGCATACATCTATAAATCCCTAATTTTAACTTTATAAAAATTGATCTTATATTCTCAGCTTATTTGATTACCAAGTTCTACAAAATATCTTTACAATAGACTTATTAAATTTTTTTATCTGACAAACACTTATGGAGGTACCATTTTTTACTATCTTAGTGGCTTATGGTTCATGGTTCAATCATGTTAAGAGTTGGTGGGAAAAGAAGCAAGAGCATCCACTACTTTTCTTATACTATGAAGATTTGAAACAGGTAATGTATTAGACATTTATTCTGAAAAAATGTACACTGTGTCAAGGGGAAGCCATGGATATTTATTTTTCAATCTAACATTGGAATCCAAATGGAAATAGCTGTTTTCCTATTTCCCATTTCTCCTATCTGCATATCTAGTCACTTTGTGAAAGCGTTCATTTATATTTGTTCCTTCGTTCAGTTAGCATGTGATTTTCAAGCATCCTTTTCCCTCAAATTATCCTTTGGACTTACAGGCCTTCACACTCATGATTTTGCACTTGGTATCTGTATATTCACCCAGTCATTTTCCTTTTTAATTGCTCTCTCTAATTTGATCTTCATTCTTTTGTTCAGCATTTCCATAAATAATTATCTGTGAGTAATCCCTATTTTCTAACTTGATTTCCAATCCAACACTGGAATTAATTTAACATGTTCAAAAGCAAATTTAATTAGCTTAGTTTTCCAACATGTCATCCTTTACAACTTCTGTTTTCTTTTTTTCCATAACATCTCTATTTTTCTTCTTAGTTTTCCAAACTTTCAGTTAGGCTGTGCATTTAGTATAATTACCATCTACCATTGTACATTATGGACTTTTTGTTTTGTTTTGCTTTTTGTTTGTTTGTTGAGGCAAGGTTTCTCTGTGGCTTTGGATCCTGTCCTGGAACTAGCTCTTGTAGACCAGGCTGGTCTTGAACTCACAGAGATCCGCCTGCCTCTGCCTCCTGAGTGCTGGGATTAAAGGTGTGAGCCACCACCGCCCAGCACATTATGGACTTTGAATTGTGTCATGTTTGTCTGTTTTATCTTTCAAATGTTTCTCTTTCTTTACTTTCTCACTGTATCTATTTTAGTGCATGAACTTATAATTCACATAGTCTCTATGAAATAGGTTTGATCAATAAAACTGCAATGTGCTTTGCCACCATTCAGGGTTATTCTACAAAAATGGGACAATTCTGCCTAACCTCATACACCATTGAGAAATGTACAGAAATGTTTGTTTATAAAACTCCAGATAGACAATTTAAAACATCTTTCAATTCTCAAATTTGTGATAGAAACTAAAAAAAAAACTGTTAATTTTGAAGATATATTTATGGTACCTAATACATATTATGGCTCAAGAGTTACACATGAATGGAACTTTTCATAATGTAATGAATTTTATGACTGAAGGAATGTAATAACCAAAATATTAGCAGATGTTTTCTCCTGTGTACAGTAACACTCTCTGAATGTACTTCTGGGAAATGCCAGGGCATTTTTATATCTTACCTTCAATATAATAATAAAGATAATGTGGCAGGGGCCGCATTCTTCTTCATATCCTGGAAATATTAACAAAACTTTCCTTACAGAAAATGATGTGTGTGTGTGTGTGTGTGTGTGTGTGTGTACACAAATAGCTAATAATGTGTTTTTATATGTCATTGTTTCTTTATTTGCTGTAAATATAATCAAGCCTCTTCATCAAAGAACGTTATTAATTTTTCCCTACTCATTTTTATTTTCCTATTTTTATAACTGCTCTCATTTCCATGAACTAAACAAACCTAACTCTAAACCTCCATTTTAAACAAACAAACAAACAAACAAAAAGGTCCTGAAACATTTCAGAATCCTATACTAAGAATCTAAGATGTTTCTTCTACTAGGAATTGATGTCAATATTTCAACACCAAGTAGATGGTACATTGCATTAAATTTTAAATTGGATCTCTCAATTTCAGTTTCAACATATTTTTTTCAAAATCTTTTTGAAATCTCAGTGAAGATTTAATTGCCTTATTGAAAGTTATAAATCTTAAGCTCCTATGCTATAAATTGAAATCAGAGGATGATTTTGGTTAATTTTTATAAGTGTGTGTGTGTGTGTGTGTGTGTGTGTGTGTGTATCTATGTGCATGAGTGCACATGCTTTTGCTGGCCAGTGGAGCCTGGTCCCTGGAAGCTGTAGTTAAAGGTAATGGTGTGCTACCCTATGTGGGGACAGGGAACCAAAGGAGTCCCCTGAAAGAACAGTGTGTGCCCTTAAGCACTGAGCTGTCTCTCCAGCTCATTCTTTTGTTTGTTGAATTAGTGTCTGCTTAGCACAGCAGACTTTGAATTTGTAATCTTTCTGCCCCAAACTCCTGAATACTGAGGAATCCATATGCAGACTCAATCATAATGATGTAATTATAAATGTTGCATCATTTCATAAATTATGTGAGTGGTTTACATGCTTGTTACTTCCTTGCTTTTATCCTATTACTCACTGACAGAATCCAAAGGAAGAAATAAAAAAGATCGCCAACTTTCTACAAAAGAGATTGGATGAGGAGACCTTGGACAGGATAATCCATCACACTTCCTTTGAAATGATGAAGGACAACCCCTTGGTCAATTATACCCATCTGCCCTCATCAATGATGGATCACAACAAGTCCCCATTTATGCGAAAAGGTAAAACTTTGCTGAATGTAATCCCCACCTTTACTTTCTTGTGAAAACCCAGTTTTGTGATTTCTACTGTTTTATTTGACTTAAGTTTCAGTTCTTCATAGGAAATCAATGAAAACTAAAATCACATATAGTCAAAAGTCGCCTTATTATGCACATGGTACTAAAGGTTTGACAAATACTTTTCTTATTAATGAATTTGACTTTCACAATTATCTTGAAATTTCATGTTTGTCAGTCTACTCCACTTGATAAATTGATATAGACTTCTTTCCTCCATCTAGTAATATGCAAATTCTTTAAAGCCCCATATGAGTTAGAAAATAATTGCCATTATTTATGAAGAAAATTCACCAAAAATGTCTCTTTTTTATGGGAAATTTTTTCCTCTTTACAGATATTATTTGAATTACAGGAAGCAGAGTCAAAATTTAACTTAGAAGAATATGGAATTCACTGTTGCAGTTCTTTGTTTACTATGAAGAAAATCATATTATTATGGCTTCTTATACATACTCTGTTTCAGTAGTAACAAATTAACACATTTCATAAATTAACTTCAAATTTAGGTGTTTTCATACTACTAGTGACACCTGCTATTTTGATTATTGTTTACTGAAGTAGATATAGAGGAATAGGATTTTGTGCTGGTTGTAAGAATAACCCCAGGAATGTGTGTGGCCATAGACATACAATCAGAACAACTTTGAAAAGCATTATATTAAGACATTTTTATACAAGTTTTAATCTTGTTAAAATAGAAGTTATTTTGGTGTTAAATTTATTTGAAAAACAGTGTAGTTAGCTTCAACAATAGTTTCGAGTATTACAGAACACCGAAAAGTATTATAGGCATTATTCTAATTTGGAACAAATTGGCTAATGTATATGCATATACATTTATATTCATATAACTTTTATCTAATGGAGCTTTAAACACAATTTCTTTCATTAAAGCAGCTAAATTCAGTCATGTCTCCGCAGGTAATTTCCCAAAGAGTTTAAATCCAGTCATGTGAAGATGAATGAGATCTTCATGACAGCTCAAATATTGCTGAATAGAGACTGGATTTGATATTTTGTGCAACTTTACCATGGAAGAATACATGCAAACCTAACAATTGTGAAGTCTTTACATTCCTGTAGAGGAAGAAAATAACATGCTTTGTGGTTAGATGGATCCAAGCTTTATCAGGGCTATAGTTCTGTCTAAATCTATGACATCAAATTCGTCAACCAGCCAAATGAAGTTTTACTTGCATCATTAACAAAATATGTAAAATAATTAACACCTATGGTATAAAACTGGGCAAAAAAAGCTACGTGAAACGTGTTATGTAATGATTTAGAGTACTTTCCAACCAGAAATTATTCACATATCAACTTTTGGTGGCAATTGTCTAGATTCATTTGTTCATTCATTTACTCATTCAGCAGACTGAGTGCATGTTTATTCAATAACTAATATATAGTACAGACTCTTTATGAATACCTGCCTAAGGCACTTGTTCCTTCAAACAATCAAAGTCCTATGTTTGTCTCAAGACAGCTCAGGTGCTTTATATGTTCAGCTTTAATATTATTCTCACCTAAAATACAAATGAAGTATAAATTTTGTGAATTAGGGGACAAGCACCTTCCAATGATCACAGAATTCTCATATGTAAATTCCAGGAAATTGAACCCATTTGTTTCCCATTTAAGAGCTCTTTTGGATGATGAACAGTTCTTTGTACAGACTGTGTGACTATCTGAGAAAATGAAATATGCTCTTATGCCGAAAATTGATCTCTAACTCCATGACCTAGGACAGTCAGGAGAAGTATAAGTTCTTCCTTATGAAATAGTATACTCCCTGAGAATTTAGATAGTAAAATTATCCCTCTCAAAATAAGTCTTGAAACATGAACTCTTTGCTTAGCTTTAAGCCTGTTTTACCAATGATAATATTTAAAATTTAAATGATGCTTTAAAATAGTCATACTTATTCAATATTAGATTATTTTTAAAGCCTCATCAGACAAATTCGTATCAAGAAAAATGTATGTGCATATGTACCAGTCATCTTTGTTCCAAACTAGAATAAAACTTATTTCTGTGATTTTATATTAGAAATTATATTTGAAGCCAAATATACTATTTTTCAAATTCATCCCCTGAGTACCCACCCTTTCCCTTGGTGAATATTTTTTTTGTAATTCATATTTTATTCTTTCATGTGTTCTTGTCATTTTAGGTGTTGTTGGTGACTGGAAGAATTACTTCACAGTGGCCCAAAATGAGAAATTTGATGTCATCTATAAGAAGGAAATGTCTGGAACAATGCTTAAGTTCTTCAAAGAGATTCAAAGTGTTGAAGCTTCAACTTGAATATATGATTTTTTGGAATAGTAACTTGACTTGGAAGTCAAATGGATTCGTGAAGGAGAAACTGATTAAATATGTCCTAAACATGCCTCAGCAAATAATATTTCAAATTATCTAGTGCCATGGTCCCTTGCTATATTACTTTTAAAAGAGTACTTTTGCAAATTCCTGGGTGACTACTGAACTGGAGAAATAGTGTTTCTGAAGAAAATCATTGGTCTCAGTTTTTCATAACACAGGCTTATTTCAGGGTATGAAACTTGCATTCATATTCCTGAGAATATTACACAGGAAACTGCATGTTCCCCACACAGTCTCCCATGTAGTAGTATGTAGAGTTATGTTGCCCTTGCTGTAGAAACAGTTGCATGGTTGCAAATGGACTACATTTTTGTACACTTGCCATGTTTTCTCTTTCCTGACTGTCTGACCCAGGATACTTCACTTCCTGGCTAGCTATAGGTTTTCATGAGGTTATAGAAGTCATTACTCATCTTCCTGTCATGATTCTGTTTGGAGAACACAATTCATATCCCAGATCTCATGACTGAGATTTTTGGAAATAGTTTTCTATATTTTGTATTATTTCTCAGTTTCCAAAGAATTAAAACCCATACATTATTCTGTTTAGGACTACTCTTTAGGGACTTGAGTTTATCTCTGAGAGCCTATTCAGGGTCTATAAAATCAATTTGCCCCCTCTGTGGAGGGTCCTCTTAAATGGCCCTTTTGAATTTCCCCTAAACAACTGTCACTGTGTTGATGAGTTTACCAGTGTATTTGGGTCCAAGAATAGTGCTTTTGTTTCACAAGATGAAAAGTATCACTGAAGCTGAGACCTTCCCAACCTAGTGCCTGAGGGAGAGTTTCTAGACTGAGGATCATCTGTCTGTCCTGTCCACAGACAGAGATATGGAACACATAGAACAACCACATGGAGACAATTTGTTTCTCAACTCCAGATTTGCCCTGGACAAGGTTAGGCAAAACTCCTTGTGTAGAAAGAATTTCTGCTTGTAGTTCATATCGACCTATATCAAATTGCATCCAAAGTGTCTCCAAACTAAAGCTGATTAGTGAGCTCTGAATTTCTCCCATACCTGTTCAAGGGATTGAGGTTTAGTTTACATTGTAGACACACCCTCAACCATAGTTGAGATGGGAAGTGGTTGAACTATTTGTATTTTACAAGTGAATTTTAGCTACAGCAGATCTCTGTTTCAGCTCCAGTAAAGAAGTAGGCCAGTAACAAGTGCAAACCTCTACAAGAGACACATCTCTGGTTAGGGAGGTATTTGCTTCATAGAATGCTTCATAAATTTTTTCAAGTTCTGAAACATGTATTGTAATGCTTAGAAATATTTTGAAGACTGAGTACTATGCCATATCAACATGACATTTGTGCTAACCTAGATCTGTGTTCTTGGTATACAGCTATTCATGTGTGTCTGTAGGAAAAACTATCTCTTTTTCCTTTTTAGGTAAGATTTTCGTTTCTAATTTTGAAACAATCATCTCTAAAAGAAATAGTAATATTCCTGTTAAGCATAACCTTTCTTCATTGTTTTACAAAATTAAATAACTTGCATAATTACTACAAGTTGGATAATAAAATATATTCTAATTAAAAGTTAAACAATTTATTATGTGGAATTAGAACTAATTCTTCTTTTATGATTTATTTTGTTTATATTTCTGTGTGCGTGCCACAGGTACCCACAGAGAACAGAAGGGAGTGTTAAATGCCCTGGAGCTGGAATCACAGGCAGTTGTGAGTCACCCTGCATGATTGGTAGGGTCAATACTCATAATCCTTGGAAGAACAGCTATCTCTCTTAATTGCTGTGTCATTCTTAGCCCCAGAATGACATGTAATTCTTACATTTTATTGCAAAATTTGTTCATATCATAAATCATCTCAGACTATCATATAAAAAATATCATGTTTAAGTGTGACTTAAAGTCACACTTATCTTTAAGTGTGACTTATCTTTAAGTGTGACTTAAAGATTCAAATATGTCTTCAGAAAACCACTCTTAACTATTTAATTATGGTACATAAAATTATATATAAATACAAGAAACAAAATCTTAACAAAATATAAAGTAATGGTGCCCCAAATGACAGTATAAATGTTCCAAGCTATACTCAGCATAAAATCTCTGTATCTTTAGGGAAATTGTTTGAGAACCTGTAATTACATTTAGGAATGTTGTTTTTAAATTATTTTTTATTTAAATTAAAAACAATCTTATTTGACATACCAATCCCACTTCCCTCTCCTTCCCATCCTCCCACCTCCCCCCCATCAATCCCTGATCCCAAGGCCCCATCCACTCTCCAGGGAGGGTGAGGCCTCCCATGGGGATCATCAAAATCTGTCCCATCATTTGGGATGTGGAGTAGGATAATAAAATATATCCTCATCCCCAGTGTATCTAGAATGAAGGAATATCCTTCCATGGGGAATGGGCTCCCATTGGTGTTTTTTATATAACCATTTTAAGTGGCTTCATGGCAGAATTACCTAATGCTATTTCCAAGTGAAAAATGCAAACTGCTTCTGTTTTCCCCAGGGCTACTAGATGAAAACAGCTATCAAGACAGCATGCTATGTTGATTGTATTCCTATTTGTAAACACAAAAGTAAAATGAGAAAAACAGGCAAAACGTGAAACCAATTATTTAGTATAATTTAAAAGATAAAGGAGCTTGGTGAATTAAAGCTCAGCACTGGGTCTTTTGCCAAATGTGTAAATGAGTTTCAAAATCAAACAAGTAGGCAAGTTTCCAAGTATAGCCTGGTCACTGTGGGACCCATTCATTAGCTTACATATATACTATAGATTTGGTTTCTTTAAAGATTTCCTTTATTATTTTCCTTTAAATTAATCCTTTCACTGTACACAAACTAAGTTTTTGATGGGATTAGTATACATGGAACCAAGATGTTTGCCTTGAATTATTTTTTACTCTCATAGTTTAGGCTGTAAGGTTGAAGTGCAGTGGGTTCTTTTGTCATAAAATGCCTTGAATTATTTTTTACTCTCATAGTTTAGGCTGTAAGGTTGAAGTGTAGTGGGTTCTTTTGTCATAAAAATATATATATATATATATATAAGAAATGCAAACAGGGAAGTATAATTAGCTAAATTATTAGATGGATAAAGCATAATCAAAGCATCCTCATGCTCACTTAACATAATTTGAGAGGCACCAAAGTTCTTTGCCAGCCAGAGTCTTCATTCACATACTTGTAAGTATGACATACACACAAAGAGAGGCAAATCCCCCCAAATAAATACTGCTGGGTAATCATGTTCAAGACTCAGAGGAATATTTGGAATGCTAACAGAATTGCAGTTTAGCTTCCTGTTCTTTCAGTCAATAGTCCTGTGAATGGAAACTGCAGTTCTGGTTTGTAGTATTGGAGGTTAGTTTATCTTGAAAAATTCATTAAAGAGGTTGGAGAGGAGGCTCAGCAGTTAAGCACACTGGTAGCTCTTCTAGAACATGAGGATCCAATTAGAATAAATGTCCATGGTACACAAACAAACATATAGCCAAAATACCCATACACATTAAATAAAGTGATTAAAATATATTAAAGCAATAATATAAGTAGAATATTTTGACTTTCTGGGCTTTACAAACTTATAAAATTATATTGTGTATGTGAATATATTCTGATTATTGGTCATTTGTTTATTATAGGTATTTAAAATATATTCCTGGTTCCATGATTTGAGTCTTTGGACACACGATAACTTTATAAAAAATTTCATTCTAATAATTATCTACTTTATCATATTGCTTTATTATATACATTTGAATCATATGTAAGGCATACTTGATTGCTACTTATGTTATTAAGGCATGTACTTTTTTTGTACTAAATTTATAGTTTTTGTTTCATTTGAAATCTGTAATATATTATTTACATGAAAGGACTAAAGCTGTTTCTTCACCCTAGGGATATGCAATGATCCAGCACAACTTACTAACAACACTGTCTTTCTTGAACTGTACCATAGATTAATTTTCCTTATATATGTGATCCAGTGGTTTGAGTGAGACATGTCCCCCATAGTCTCCAGCTTTTTAATGCTTGGTCCCCAGTTGGTAATATCGTTTGGAAAAGTGAATGTGGTGCAGCCTTGATGGAGGAAGGACATCATTGGGAATGAGCTCTGAGATGAAATTTTAGAGGCACTTCCAGCTCATTCTTTCTGCCTCTTGCTTGTGATTAAAGATATGAGTTCTCAACTTTCCGCACCTGTCCCCAGGCCTGCCTCCCCACCATAATGGACACACCCTTCTGGAACCATAAATCAAAATAAACACTTAATTCTATAAGTTACTGTGTTCATCAAGCTTGTGAGAACAACACAAAGCATAGTAGGACAGAATTTGATACCTCATAATGGGCTGTGGCTGTGAAGAAACTGCTCATATTGTTTTTTTTTTGAGGAAATAAAGAATGGATGGTAGAGAAAGGCTGTTATTAGAAATACCTAAGGCCACATGACCCAGTTCAGTGTATGTATGTATGTGTGTGTATGCATACTATATCAGTTCTGTTCCTTTAGAGAACCATAAAAAGTACACTGGTACTGTTTTTAATCTTTTAGTCTTTTCTGATTCCATGTCTGTTCTTGTATTAGCACCAAAGTTTTGTATTAATATAGTTTAGTAACATAGTTACATGTTTTGTAATAGAATTTGACCAATTTCACATTTATTCAAAATTGCATTATTCATTATGCACCTCATTCATTTACACATACATTTTGAAAGCAACACATCAATTTATATAGTTCTTGGGGAAGCATTATCATTCCAAATGCCATAATGATATATAAACACTTACGTAGGTGTATTAAATGTAGTTTAGAATATATATTATATATAACTGTATATATATATATATATATAACTGTATATATACATCTGTAGTTTAGAATATATATTATATATAACTGTATATATATATATATATAACTGTATATATACACATATATATATATGTATATATAGTGTGTGTGTGTGTGTGTGTGTGTGTGTGTGTGTGTGTGTGTTGGATTTATTAGATGGGCTTACAAGTTGTGGTCCAGGTAATACAACAGTAGCTGTCTCACATAGAAGAGCTGCAAACTGATGGATG